CATGTAGACAGCTGATTGTGTGGGTTTCTCTAGTTCATTCCCTTGAGACTAAAGCTACTCAGCTATATTTGTTCTGCTGTGAGAACAGATAACTGGGAGGCAATTCAAAATATTTGTTTAATATTTTCTTAGAAATCCTTAAAGAAGCAGAGGGTTTTACACCTTGATTTAAAAAAAAAAAAAAAGGGAAAACAAAACACTAGTTCTACTTACTTTAAAATGTTTGGTGATTTTTGGTTTTCTGTCTCTTTATACATTATTTTTTAGCTTCTAGTGTCAGAATAACCTCTCAAAGTTGTTTTTTTCCCCCTGTTGTATGTAATAAAGGTTAAGTTAAGCTGTATTGCTCTAATAACTTTTATATGACCAAGTTGGTTGGGTCACTGAGTGGCATGGCAAGGACTTTTAAAAATCCTTTGTTGTGTCAATTTCTTATATTTTTGCCCAAAGGTCTTGTCCAAATAAAATCTTACACTGAGACTCAATCTATAAAATTGATTAAAAAGTAGTAGGTATTAATTAACTTCTGTCTGAATCTCACGGTTGATCATTCATATGAGTGAATGACATTAGTAACCTGGAAGATGGTGGAGAAAGTCTCCCTTATAGAATACTTTGAACTTGATAAAGGGCTAACTTCCGACAGATTGACAATTTTTTTTTTCTAGGAAATATTATCATAGTCCAGTAGGAAGGTCTTGAGGCACCTCCTATGACAGTGCCCACTTCTGGTCCCTCCTGAAGGACCTGCCTGAGGCTCTTCTTGAGCCTGTCCTTCCTGAAATACACTTGTGACTTGCCTGGTATCTTTGGTGTCTTGTTGTTTGGGTTCTTGTTTTTATCACAGTTCCATGTAAGAAAATAGATCATGACTACTACTCCCCACTAATGAAGGCCTTTCGTTGTTGGGATCCGTGTTTTCAGGTGTGTGTGTCACTGGGGGTGGGCTTTGAGCTTTCGAAAGCCCCTGCACTTCTAGTTAGCTTGTTCATTGGCATGTTTGCATGTGTCTCCCCTCCCCCACTTCCTGTGGCTCAGATGTAAGCGCTCAGCTACCTTTCCTGTGCTAATCCTTCTACCATGATGGTTATGGACTCTAGCCTACTGAAACAGTGAGCCCAAGTTAAATGCCTTCTTTTGTGCGTTTCCCTGGTCATGGTATCTTAGCACAGCAGTAGGAAAGGAAGTAAGACGAGTCTCTTGTAGTTCAGGCTATCTTAACACTCACTCTGTAGCCAAATTTGGCCTTACACTCCTATTTCTTAGCTTCCTTAGCTGGGGTTGTAGACGTGAGCTACCATACCCAGCCTGTTACAGTCTCAGGGGACTACCATTGAACATGCAGTCCTTTGTCAACTAAAACGTGGTTGTTAGGTACGGGGCTTAGTTGAAACAGCCAATATGAAGCCTTTTCAGATTGCCTTCTTTTAATTGTAGAAGTAGTTTAAGGTTCGTCCCAGTCTCTCCTGGGATTGACAGTTCATTTCTTTTGAGCATTGAATAGTATTCCATCCGCTGAGTGTACCGCAGTGTATGTACCTTCTGAAAGATGTCTTAGTTGCTTCCCGATTTTTGCAGCTATGAATAATGCTGCTGTAAGCATTCCTCTACAATTTTCTTTTTAATATGGACGTCAAGTTTTCAGCTCTTTTGGGTAAATACAAAGGGACGCGATCACTGATTCATGGTGAATATGTTTGTTTTGTAAGAAACTAAGTGTGTTACAAAGTAGCTGTGCCGTTTTGCCTTCTCATTAATAGTAAATGAGAGTCTGCTGTTTCCCATCTTCTCCAGCATTCAGTGTTGTCGGTGTTCTGGATTTTGACCTTTGTACTAGGTATGTGATGATCTTGATGGGCTTTTCAGGGTGCTTGGCCAGCATCCTGCTGTGAGTCATTTTCTGTGCATCACAGAAAGATCACAGAGTGGTTCATCCACTCCCACCCCGAGCTATTAAAATGGACAACAGTATTTTCAGCAGTCTGTGGCCCAGAATTCCTTAGTATACTTGAAGAAGCAAGAGCTAGGGGAAGGGGTTTAAATTCTTTTGAGACAACATAACACTGGGTGACTCAATAAGGACTTCACCAATATCCAGACATGCTCGCTTTCAAGCAATTCTACTTAAGGGTCTTGGTTTGGTTTGGTTTTTTTAACATTTATTTCTTACGTGTGTGCCCGTGCTGGCAGGAGTCATTTCTCTCACCATGTGGGTTCCAGGGATTGAGCTCAGGCTGTCACACTTGGCACCGAGTGCTTTTATATGCGGAGCATCTCACTGCACCCCACCCCCAGCCCTAAATTGAAAATTCTGTATTAAGTACGTTTCGGTTGATTGAGTTAACCCATAAAATTAAAAAAAAAAAAAAAAATGGGTTCCTTGGGGACCTTGTTCCTTTCTCACCACTGTATCCAGCATTTAGTCTAGTACCTAGCACAGCCTGTAAAAAATGTTCATTCAGGAGAAACATGAATTGAAGTGGGACCTGGTACTATGCAAAAGTACCTATACTTGAGGTGGTACACAAGTCTAGTTTTCAGTGGCAAGAACATGAAAGAAAATCTCCATGAGGAATACAGTGATTAACAATGCTTGCGTAACTAAACATTAAAACAAAGTATAAAATTCCTAAATAACAGTAGTGTGGAGGGGATTAGGAGATGACTCTTGCAGAGGACCTAGATTCAGTTCCCAGCACCACATAAAGGCTCACCATCATCCATAACTCCAGTTCCAAGAGACTCAATCCCTTATTTGGCCTCCAAGGGCACCAGGTGCACGCACACACACATATATACACACATATATACATGCAGGCAAATTAGATAGACCAGGACCTAGTGTAAAACCAAAAACTACTGGTCTAAAAAAAAAAAAACAAGGTAGCAATAAAAATGACGCCTAATGACATTCTGCTATACTCATAGACCAGTGCTCAGCCATCACCATCAGAGACGCTTCCTCCTGCAGCATATGGGAACAAATACAGAGATCCACAGCCAGAAAGTACAGAGAGAGTGTGTATGACCTTGGAACAATCAGCCCTAAATGGGTTGTCTTCATCAAATCCCTCTCAGCTCAGGGAACCCTGGAGAGGAGGAGGCAGAAGAGTATATGAGAGCCGGAGGGGATGGAGGACACCAAGAAAGCAAGGTCCTTTAAATCAGCACAAGCAGAGCTCATATGAACTTGAAGAGACTGCGGCAGCATACATAAGGCCTACACAGGTCTGCAGCAGTTCCTGAATCCTACCGTGGCCGTGGTTCTCAACCTGTGGGGTCGTGACCCTGATGAGGGCAAATGGCCCTTTTATATCCTTGTCTTACAAATCTGACCTCTGAAGCCAGCAGGGAAAGCTTCATTCAGACTTTTAAAGTGCTCTTGTGACTAGGTTTGATATATTCAGATAAACTATGTATCTTTTAGATGTTTGATATGGAACTTTAATTGAATTTATAAAATCAGTTTACATCAGTAACTGGATTGATACTTGAAAAGAGCCAGGATCTGGGAATCATGGGGACATGTCTTAGAGTTCTGCCTGCCACACTGAATTTTCACCTGTACTTGATATAACTTTTTTAAATATAACTTTCTTATTTTTAGCAATTTTGTATTTGTCATGTATTGTTAGCATGCCTTATTGTAATTTGCTTTTTTTAATTTCTTGATCAGTTTGAGAACTTCTTCACATATATCTTAGCCATTCAACCATGCTTTTCTGTAAATCTACTTAACTATTTAAGGAGTAGATTATTTTCTTTCTTGTTTTCTTGGCAGGAGATACTTTATATATTCTGCCCATTAATCACTTACTAATTTTAAAGATTTATTTTTATTTTTCATTAATGTGTATGTGTGTAAATCTGTGTGAATATATGCCATATGTGTACCTGGTGCCCACAGAGACCAGAAGAGGGCATTGGATCCCTGGAAGTTGAAGTTACAGGTGGTTTTGAGCTGTCTGTTGCCGGGTCTGGGAACCAATGCGGATCCTTTCTGTCCTAACCACTAAGCAATCTCTCCACCACTAGCACTTACTGATTTTGCATTGCTGCAAAAAAAAAATTTCTTAATCCAACATTTCTCTGTTAGCTTTGTCTATCATTGCTTTATTGAATAAAATTCCTTAACTTTGATGTTCACAGATTCATCTATCAGTATTTTAGTTACTAGTAACAGAGTTGTTTAGAATTACAAATTTAAGATTGCAATCCTAAGCCTTAAATTCATTACCCTGGGGCTGTAGTTTTTGAACTTGTGAGATTCAGAATTACTTTTTTTTTTTTTCCTCACTCTTGAGACCAAGTTTTGCTTTATTTCCCAGGTCTCCTAAACTCATGGATACAAGCCATCCTCTTGCCTCAAGCCTTGGGTAGCTGGAAACAGATGTGTGCCACTGCACCTTATAAATGATTACATGAGTTCATTTTCCATATAGTTCCTCATGTTGTAGTAACTCCCAACCACAAAATTATTTTTGTTGCTACTTTATAACTGTAATTTTGCTATTGTTATGAATCATAACATAAGTATCTGTTCTGTTTTCCTATGGTCTTAGGCAACCTTTCTAGGGGGTCACAACCCACAGGTTGGGAACCACTGCTCCAGAGGCTACTCCCTTGAAAAAATTAGGTCTTAATTGTAGGTCAAAGTTAAAGAGGTCATGTGAATTGCCATATTTAATGTTTTTAATTCATAAAACATCTCTTGCCTTTGTTTACCCTTAATCAGAATTACTTTTTAGGGAAAATTCATGAACAAGTCCTGTATTCTATGGTTATTGTGTTTTGAAATTACATGATAAGCTCCTGTGCTGTGAGAATGCCTACATAGGTATGCTCTATTTTAGATATAGGCATTCCTTTTATTTTAGTGAGAAGGAATAGTCCTTAGATAGGCTTAACTGCAATGTTGTTTTTAGCTATGGGTCATGGTAGTTATAATAAACAAACAAAATGCATAATAGCTTTTTGTGGCTTGTGTTTTTTATTTACAGCCTTCAAGCAAAATGAAGGTGCCCGAGGAGAACTTCTTCAATGTTCCTGCTTTCTTAACTGTCTCAGGACAACTTCACCTCGAAGTGATGTCAGGGTACAAAATTTTACTTTTTTTTTCTTGTGTATGCTGATTGTGATTTGGGGCCAAAGGAAACAATGTGCTCAAACTTAAAAGCTGAAATTATCCTATCATTAGTATACCAAAAGTAGATTTAATGGACAATTTGAAAAATGTCCAAGTGAGGGGCTAGAGAGATGGCTCAGTGGTTAAGAGTACTTGTTGCTTTTGTTGTTGTTTTGTTTCGAGACAGGGTTTCTCTGTTGTAGTTTTGTTGTTTGTCCCAGATCTCGCTCTGTAGACCAGGTTGGCCTCGAACTCACAGAGATCCGCCTGACTCTGCCTCCCGAGTGCTGGGATCAAAGGCGTGAGCCGCCGCTGCCACCCGGCTACTTGTTGCTCTTGAAGAGGACCTGGATTTGGTTCCCAGCACCGACAATGTGACTCACAACTGTGTGTAAGTCCAGTTCCAGGGGAATCAAACATCCTCTTCTGACCGCTGAGGGTACTAAGCAGGCACATAGTACATATACACACAAGCAGGTAAAACACTCTTACATATAAAATAAATAAATCTAAAAAGAAAAGAAAAAAGGAAACATCCAAATGTTTTCCAAGTAAAATCACATTCATCTAGACTTCTGGTTTTAGTAAAAAAGTGTAACAGTAAAATTCAAAGTTGTAATTTTTTTATTACTAATTATTCTTGCTTAAATCCTAACCATGTAATCAAATTTTCAATATAAATGACCATATGCGTGGAAGTAATGGATGCTCACAGTTCATGCTTAACCAAATACTACCTCATTTCACTGGGGGGGGAAAAATAGGCTGGACAGTGGTGGCCTTTAATCCTAGCACTCAGGAGGCAGAGGCAGGAGGATCTCTGAGTTTGAGGCCAGCCTGGTCTTCAGAGCAAGTTCCAGGATAGGATCCAAAGCTATACAGAGAAACCCTGTCTCAAAAACCAAAACAAAAAAGTAGGAAACATTTTTGCTCAGTAATTAGTGTGTGTGTGTGTGTGTGTGTGTGTGTGTGTGTGTGTGTGTGTGTGTGCGTGCGTGTGCGCGCGCGCGCGCGCGCCCCTGCATGTCTGTGTCCAGAAGAGGACATTGGATCCCATAGAACTGGAGTTGCAGGCAGTTGTGAGCTGCCCCTGGGAACTGAACTCAGGTCCTCTGTAAGAATAGCAAGCACTCTTACCCTAGGAACTGAACTCAGGTCCTCTGTAAAAGCAGCTCTCTCTCCAAACCAATGGCAGTTGATTTTTAAAAAGAAAATTAACATATGGCACTGTGAATCCACTAGCAAAACTTTTAAGTTAAATTGAGTACATTTCTAACACTGTCACACCTTTGGAAAGTCTGAATATTCCTAGGGCCCAGAGTCCTCCTTAGTCTCTTGTTCTGTGAATAAGAAACTAATTTCTTTCTTTCTTTCTTTTGTTTTGTTTTGTTTTGTTTTGTTTTGTTTTGTTTTGTTTTGTTTTGTTTTGTTTTGTTTTGTTTTGTTTTGTTTGAGACAAGGTTTCTTTGTGTATCTCTGGCTGTCCTGGAACTCACTCCGTAGAACAGGCTGGCCTTGAAGTCACAAATCCCCTTGTCTATACCTCCCAACTGCTGTGATTAAAAGCATGCGCCTGGGCGGCATACACCTTTAATCCCAGCACTCAAGAGACAGAGGCAGAAGGATCTCTTGTGAGTTCGAGACCAGCCTGGTCTCCAAAGCAAGTTCCAGGAAAGGTGCAAAGCTACGCAGAGAAACCCTGTCTCAAAAAAAAAAAAAAAAAAACCAAAAAACAAAAACAAAAAAAAACCTATCCTACAGACTAATAAACCCTAACTTCTGGTATTATTATAATTATTATTATTGTTATTTTGGGGGGGGGGATTTCGAGACAGGGTTTCTCTGTATAGCTTTGCACCTTTCCTGGAACTCGCTTTGGAGACCAGGTTAGCCTCGAACTCACAGAGATCCTCCTGCCTCTGCCTCTTGAGTGCTGGGATTAAAGGCATATGCCACCACCACCCAGCTTGGTATTATTTCTTATAACTGAAAAATTAAGTTGCTGTAGAGGACAAAAATGTACATGTTGGTTTGTAACTCCATGTAATATAGGGTACTTCTTTCACAGTAAAGAAATAATAGAGCAAGGGCATTCTTCAGTGATAACCTTTCTACTGCTCTTTATTCCCATATTGCTTTGAAAAGACATTCTTTTTAAAGGCTGTTTACCTTTTACCTTATATCCAATGAATAGATAAACTTTATAAGTAATCTTCCAGGCGAGGCACCTGCCTATAACCCCAGCATTTAGAAGGTGGAGAAAGGACCAGTAGTTCAGTCTTACCCATATAGCAAGTTTGAGGCCTCAAAACAAACTAAACGATACTAATTGTTTTAACCTATACTGGGAGAGACAAGGTATCTCCTCTTCAAGGATTGTGTATGGAATGTGTTTACCAAACATTAATTTCTGTATTATAAGACCACTAATGTAGTGCCTCTTTCTCAGTACAGTGTTCTGTAAAATACAATGTACAATGAAAGGATGAAAGATTAATTGGTGGAATATTAGATCTTAAATTTATAATATGTGTGTCTAATAAAGTCATGCAAATGTTCCTAATTTAATATGCACAGTTCTAGAACTATTAATATACAGTACATCATGTTTCATGATTTACTCTAATCAGAAATTTTTAGTATTTTTTCTCTTAGCTTTGTATTTTGCTTAATTTTATTTAAAAGACTGACTGTTAAAAGGCATAAATGTAGTTATATTTAGAAGGCTAACATTTTCCAAAGAACCCCTTGAGTCTAATGGGTTTATGACTCTGTTTTCAAGGTTTTTCATTTTAAATAGATACTGTTTTGGATTACTTTCTGGATGTATAGACAAGTCACAAATGCACTGCAGTTTCCGCCTACCCCCTGCCATTCCCCCAAATCTTCCATGACTGATGCATTTGTCAAAAACCAAGAACACAATGTTAGTGAATAACTGTTAAGCAGAGTCCAGGCTTTATTTGGATTTTACTAGTTTCTCTATTAATATCTTCTTTTTCCAGGATTCAGTTCAAGATATCTGAAATGTGGTTGTCTTGTTCCCAAGTCTCTTCTTGGCTGTTTCCCAGTCTTTGTTTGTGTGACCTGTAGAATGTAACCTGACCTCAGTTCGTCCGATGTTTTTCTCCAGATTAGACCTGGGTCATACAGGTTTTTGGAAAGAATAGCACAAAGGTGAAGTGCTATTCTCGTGACATCCTCTGAGGGAGTGTGTGTCGTCTGTGTGGTGCTGTTGACTGCACTGTTAGATAGAATAGTGGTTGTCAGCTCTCTGCACTGAAACTGGCCTGCGTTCCCCTTTCGCCGCTCTGTTCTTTATAAGGCAGTCACTAAGTCTGCCCTCACTTGGGTGGGGACTTGGGGTGTAGGAAATGGAATTAACCACAGCTCCTTTGGGGAGGGGATATCTGAAATCCTATATGGAAGGTTTGTTCACTTTATTTAGTCCATCATTTACATCAGGATGAACTCAGGTAAATCTGTCTTATTGACTTACCTGATTCTGTTTTATCTCCATAATTACATAAACAACTTTAATTATGGAAAACTCAGTCTGTTACAGGTTGAGTCTTCTGTGCCTTTTACGTGTTTCCGGTCTTGTAAGTACTTTCATATCATTTGATACTACAGGATGTCCTAGATTTTTTCCTTTGGTTTTTAGGTTTGTTTACCATTTTTATCATTGTCCCTCCCTTTGATAAATCTACATTGACACATCATTATCACCTGAAGTCTGTAGTTCACGAGAGTTCATTCTTAGTGTTGTACGTTTGTACAACACTTAGTGTTGACACATGTACCCACCACTATAGTATACAGAATAGCTGCCCTGCTGTGAAAATTCTCCTATTATTCTGCTTTGTGTCTCCATAGTTTTCCCTTTTCTATAACTCAGTGTACTTGGAGTCATGCAATATGGAACCTTTTCAAAGTGGCTTCTTTCACTTAATAACATGCATTGAAGGCTCCTCTGTGTCTCTTCATTTCTTGGTATCTCACTTCTTTTTAATGTTGAACCATGTTCTGTTGTTCATATATAGTAGTGTTTATCTGTTCACCCACTGCAGGACATCTCTTTACTGTTTCCAAGACTGGGCACTTTTCCCAGGCTTATTTCCCTCACTCACATGCTTAAAATACATATTTTGAATGGCAACTTTTACATTTTTATTATTGTCTATGTGTGTGCATGATAGAGGAGTAAAGTCAGAATGCCACTTTGTGGAGTCATTTCTGTCCTGCCAGCTTTGCGTGGGTTCTAGAGGTCGAGCTCAGTTAATGAGGCTTGAACAGCAAGCCCCTTCACCTGCTGAACAAGCTTGCCAGCCTTCGGGTGGTATTCTTGACCTCTTTCCTTTAGCCTTTCTTCTTTTAAGATTTTTTTTTTTCAGAGCTGAGGACCAAACCCAGGGCCTTGTGCTTGCTAGGCAAGCACTCTACCACTGAGCTAAATCCCCAACCCTTCTTTTAAGATTTTAAGAAATAGTGTTTAATATTTTTATAATCAGAGAAAAATCTGTTTCCATTTTGAGGGGGAAATCAACTTGGGCTTGCACTGATTTCATTCAACTTTGATGAATCTGTTTGTGATGGGTATGAGCTATCATCCTCGGGTCATTTCAGCAGGTCTTACCCTGAGCTCTTAAACTATGCTTTGCCCTCCTGTGATGAGACTGATGGCATTGGAACAGGACTAAACCAAGGTTCCCCTCATAACTGAGTGTGAACCTGTCTTCTCATCTGCTCAAAAGACTTCCTTGGTCTTCATCCATTTCATACTTTTATAAACTTCGTTCATTTATACACGTTTAGTCAATTCAGTGTTTATTGAAAACTGTATGTTAAGCACAGATCTAGGTCCCTGGCTACAGAGATGAACAAAACATCTGTTACTCCATAAACTGTCTTGAGCACCATGTACATTAAATAAGGGTTTGTAAGTATGATAGCCATTGTTTAAAGAGATA